CTACCGGTGGAGGGTAGTTTTGATTGTTGTAGACAATGCATGGTGATTAGGCCATATCCGTAGGAGGCTTGTTACAGCCCAGAGTCGCCAAAAGAGTTATGCCGACCGTAGGAGGAGGCCTTTGGCGTTTGAGGTAGGTGATCATGTCTTCTTGAAAATATCACCTAGGCGAGGTTTGATGAGGTTTGGGAAGAGTGGGAAGTTATCCCCTCGGTTTATTGGTCCCTTTGAGATCCTTGAGAGGATTGGAGAAGTTGCTTATCGCTTGGCTTTGCCACCGCAGTTGTTCGGGGTTCATGACGTCTTTCATGTTAGTATGCTTCGGAAGTATGAGCCGGATCCGTCCCATGTGTTGGATTGGACCGACTTAGAGGTAGATGAGGATGCCTCGTATGAGGAGAGACCGGTTCGGGTCTTGGATAGGCGGGATCAAGTCTTGCGAGGCAAAACCATTCCCTTGGTGAAAGTTTTGTGGAAACATCACGGAGTGGAGGAAGCCACTTGGGAACGTGAGTTGGAAGTCCGTGAAAAGTATCCGGATATGTTTATTGATGTGTAACTTTGTAATGAAATTCTGTAACATTGTTGAACTTTAAGAGCATTGTATATGTCTTAAGTTGTAAAACATTGTGAATGCTTTGGTTAATGGGAGTTTGTTTTAACATTGCGTATGTTAAGTATATTGTGGAAATGCAAGCATAATATTAATGTTGCATGTGTTAAGAAATGGTGAGAAACAGGTTGAAATTGGTAGATTTCAAAAGAATGCATGTTGATAATGCAGGTTGTTATGAATAATGTGTTTTGCCTCTTGTGAAGAGATGGGATTGACCGGTAATGGGTCGGGTTGTATAATATTATGTTGTAATATTGTTGAGAATGGAGAAAACCTGTTTTTGACAAGCTTGTGTTTAATTTCGGGGACGAAATTCTTTAAGGGGGAGAGGTTATAGCGATCCCGGTTGTCCTTTTACTGTTCTGTTGTATTCCGGACTCGGTTCCATGAAGTTGGTAGTTGTATCTATCTTGTTGTCGTCCTTTAATTTCATTTGTTTGAGTTTTAGGATGTTTTGGGCGGAGTTGTTACAGGTTGGTTAGGCTTTGGTTTCAATTCTTTGTTGCCCAGTTTTTAGGAGGTCTGCTTGAGCGGGTCTTCTTGCGCTCGAGCGGGGATTGCACACTCCCAGTTTTTCGTGTCCCTGCAAAACTTCTGCAGGTGTGATTTCTACACTCGAGCGGGTTTCTTTACACTCGAGTGGGTTTCTTTACGCTCGAGCGAGTTTGTTGACGCTCGAGCGGGTAGTGCCTTTTTGGTGTACGTTCTGGGAGGGGGAAATCTACGCTCAAGCGGATTTACTTTATTCTTGTGTCTTGGCGCTCGAGCGGGCCCTTTTCCGCTCGAGCGGACCTAGTTTTTGTTCTTGACGCTCGAGCGTTGTGTTTTCCGCTCGAGCGGGAATGTCGTATATCAGTTGGCTGTGGGGCAGTTTTAAATCACTTTTTCTCATCCTTTCTCTCTCTTACTTTTCCGAAAAAGCCATTTGAGAGCTTCTCTCTCTAAAACCTTGCCTTCTCTCTAGATATTGATCTAGCTAGGGTGTTTTCCTCACCTTTGGTTTTTACAAAAAGGTTGTTGATCGTCGAGGGCTATCTTTTGATCCGAGGAACTCGTGGTTTGTAGCAACTTCGTTTTCACCATCTTCTTCTTTGGGTCTCATCTTTTGAGGTAGGGATTCCTACTCACAACTATGGGTTTTGACCTAGATATTTGGGTATTTTGTTAAATGGTTGATCTTGGGAAGTTAGGGTTTGAAAATGTTGAAAAAGGGGTTTTGTTATTTTGATTCAAAAATACGTATTTTGGGTTTCAAAATAATGATATTGTTATTTGTTATGGATATATAGGCCATTGGGTCAATATTGGAAAATGGGGTAGAAAACCCTAATTTGTTGTATAAATTAATTGGTATGATTAATTTGAGAAAATGGTGGTTATATGGAATTGAGTTGGAAATAATGAAATTGACTCATTATATGGTTGAATAGTGGAGTTAGATTTATTAATCGCTCACTTTGAAAACATTGATATTTTATCTGTTGGAGCTTTTATTATCTGTTTAGAAATAATTGCTTGGGCTACCGGTGGAGGGTAGTTTTGATTGTTGTAGACAATGCATGATGATTAGGCAAACTAAAACTAATCAATTGGATATGTCATAGAGTATGACGGTTGACAGAATACATTAACGTTATGTATTGATTGATTGTGTATATGACCTTTGTGTATATATGCATTGTGTGTGTGGGAGGAGATAGGGGATGTACTCCACGGTTTAGGGGAAGATAGGGGATGGACCTCTAAACCGGATGTTGTTTGGGAGGAGATAGGGGATGGACTCCACTAATACAGCTCGTATGCTTGTCAGATAATGTGTTGATACAGCTCATATGCTTATCTCTGGAAGTGTTGATACAGCTCATATGCTTGTCATTGGAAGTGTTGATATAGATAATATGCATATCTATTGAATGTGGATACAGCTTGTATGCTTATCTGTTGAGATGTTGATATAACTAATATGTTTATCTATTGAAAAATGGGAAACGTCTAATATGAGCCACTGTCTCATATAAGAGGCTGGCCAGGTTTTGAGCTGTTGATGTAAATTATGAAACTGATAAGAAATGGAAACGGGTTATGAATTGGTTTATGGAAATTGAACATTTATCAATTGCTAATATCTTAGTTATTGCTCATACTCTCTACTGGGCGTTGGCTCACCCTTTATGGGACATTATTTTCAGGTACAGGTAGTATGCCACCCCCAAGGACATAGCTTGGATGATGATGAGAGTTGAAGACTCTTTCTTTTGTTTATTTTGATGTATTACATGTAAATTCAAGCCAAGGGCGTAATATGTATAGAGTTAGTACTCTTCTTTTGTGTAACCAAGTGTGAACTTGGAAAGCTGTAAGCCCATAGGGCATTTGCTTTTGTTGTTAACATGTAATACAGTTGTAAGAATTACTCTGATGAATAGAAATGGATGATTTCTTTTGTATCAATGCATGCCTAAAATGTTGGGTATTATGTATTTTTTTGAGGGCGTTACACGGAGTGCTTAAATTTAATCCATGATGTAATGCAGATCAAGCACAATTTGACCTTGATGCAAAGATACTAAAAAGCAATGTGAAGGAGAAGTCCTTCTTGATTTCATAGAAAGGTCTTCTTGCTGACAAGATAAGTAAGTGTCCTGAGATCTCACTGCAAGAAAATTGAGAATTTGCGGCGTTTTTAAAACCCCATAGAAATGGATGATTTCTTTTGTATCAATGCATGTCTAAAATGTTGGGTATTATGTATTTTTTTGAGGGCGTTACACGGAGTGCTTAAATTTAATCCATGATGTAATGCAGATCAAGCACAATTTGACCTTGATGCAAAGATACTAAAAAGCAATGTGAAGGAGAAGTCCTTCTTGATTTCAGAGAAAGGTCTTCTTGCTGACAAGATAAGTAAGGGTCCTGAGATCTCACTGCAAGAAAATCGAGAATTTGCGGCGTTTTTAAAACCCCGCAATAGGCTAGAAAAACGCCGCAAAAAGATAAAACGACGTTTATAAAATTCGTCGATGATGCGGCCGTCGTTGTATCTTTGTGACGTATGAAAAACGCCACTAAAGACTTTAAACGACGTTTTCTAAAACGCCACTAATTCTGTACAGCCGTTAACTGTGCACGTTAGAGGAGTTGTCTTTGACGTAATCATGACGACATTTCGCAACGTTTTTAAGAAAAATGCCACCATTTCTCTCATTTTTTTTGAAAAAAAAAACAACAAAAAAAATTCATAATTAATGATCTTTTGACTTCTGTTCAAACCAAACTTATATCATCCATCACCATTCTCAAAATATGCATCATAATGTGAATGAGCATTTATTTTTCAATTTTTCATAAAATAAATGAATTAATTAAACTCCTTAAAACACAATATGACAATACAAAATAATGATAATATTCAGTGTGCTGTCCAAATTCTCTGAAAATAACTTCATCCACAGCTCTCTCTTCAGCTTCATCAAGTCATCATCATCTTCACCAAAATAATGATTATATATACCTGAATCATCCAATTCCATTAACACAACTTCAATAAACTTGAATGGTTAGAAAATCTACATACTCTTGCATACCATGTCAAGAAGGCTAGAAAGATAAGAAATTATGAAATTTCCAAGTGCATGTACAATGAAAACTTTTTTATTTATACGTTGTATTCACAATATGTGTAACTTTGAAAGTTTGGTTTCATCAAACAGCCATTAATATAACATAGAGCAAAAGCATAAGCAACCATGAGAAGAAAAAATCAAAAATAATGCCAATTACAAACCAGTCTATGTTTACTTAGAATAGGTTTACCAGTCACCACAGCGGGTGAGTAGCCATGAAATTTCGATCCATGCCATTGTCTGTTTCAACACACAACAATTAAAAATGAGTTTAAAATTTCAGCAAACATTAGAAAGCATACACATGGAAAGTACTCAACAACATTATTTATTAACCTAAACAACCATTAACATCTTCTAATGCTGCCTTCTTTACAGAAGCAATCAATTCAGGTAAAACTTGAATGCTGGATCACATCATCTCCAATCTTGATAACTAAAATGTTAGCTATTTGTTATCTCTTGATTTAGACCTCCTAGCAACTTGAATATGTGTCAAAGCTAAATTTAGCCTTATACCACCAATTGAAAAAATAAAGACACGACAATGGTGTGCCAAATTTTGGCATTGTACCACCAAGTATAGCACAAGACCCAAAAGACAATTCTATAGTATATACTGTAACCATGAAATTGATTATATATACTGTAAAAGGACCAACCTCAATATGAACCAACCAACTGTTAATTCCCGTTCCAAATCCCTTATCATGATGGTATGCCGGTGGACTCCCATCCAAACAAACTACGCGCAATATCAAAATTGAAGAAGAACAGTACGATGAATATTGTTAAAAAAGGAAAGAAAGAAATAAAACAAAATAAGTCAATTTAATTATTTTATTGCAAAACAAAAAAATTCACCTACTCCTTTTGCAACTGCATTCTCAACATAAGTTATTCCAACATTGAATCCTTCTGTTTTTAGCAAGATCACTACACAAACTAGTATTTGTAACCATTGGCTTAATCTCCCACTGTTCATTCTGCACATTGCTAACGGGTCATCATCAGCATACCAAAATTATATTCAAAAAAATAAAATTTAGAAAAGAAAAAAAAAAGAAAAACAGAGCATACCATCTAGAATCATCATTAATGATAAAAAAAAAAGACTACTAAACCATGTATGTTATGGAGAAAACTTTACCTTTTCATTTATGAGGAAGAAATGTGAATACACGAAAGGAATCTAACAAACCACCTTGGATATTGGAAAAAAAACAAAAACAAAACAAAACATGTGATTTTCACAACATTTTTACCAATGCATATCTATATTATAGATGTCCAGTACCATCATCACATATCTACAGATAAGATAGATATGCACACATAAGTTCTTGTGTATACAGTCTAGTCTAGTCTGCAACTACAATCACCATCATTCTCTTTCTTTATTTATCACACGCAGTGTCCTATCATTTATTTATCTAACTATTACATTATTATTGACATATTACATAATCAACCAAATCCTAATTATTAAACATGATCACTGTGTAATTACTTGTCTGCATTACTATGGGTTGCCCATCCACATTTTGGTAGCACTTCAATGCTTTAGATTTGCTCCCAACCAGCTGTCATAAATTCTGGTGGTGTTTGTACCAATGTCTCTAAATTATTGAGGAACACTTAAAAGAGTCAAAGAGATCAGAAATAAAAATCGGAATAATGTTCAATGAACTACAAAGAAGAAGAACTAATATTTTGAAATCTTAGTGCTGGTGCATAATATATGAACTGTACATTTCACTATTAAAATTATTTTCTATATTCATCACTTTGATATGTATACACCCATGTATACACCCATGAATTGTGTAATATGAATTGTGTATCTTCAATATATGTAAGTGCTAGCTAGAATAAGTAATAGCATTGTGGAATTAAGTCATAAAGTAACTGACAAAACAATAAATGAAATGTGTTATATAGTCAAAGATGCATAGTAAATATTAAATGTTATAATAGTGTTCAAAAAATAAAAAATAAAAAGGAGCAAGCCAAGTTTGGGAACTTGTAAAAGAGTCAAAAAGCCAAAAAGTTACTCAAAATGTTAAAAAGTTAACACTATTCACTAAAAGTCAACAATTACGGCTGTACAACTCCCAATTCGAATTTTTCCCTACCAATCAATTTTTACAATTTTTTATTACACATTTTTTCATAAAAAGTCAAAAAATTAACCTAAATATCTATATTTTCAACCTTAATTTTTTAATTAAAAAAAGATAAAAAATACACTTAACAAAAAGTGCACTTATTTAGGACACCCCAACAACCCCTAAGTCACAATCACAAATGACAAATAGAACACAAAAAAGTAGATCAACCAGGTGACAAATTCGCAATTCTCATCATCCTTCAGTACTTTCTAAAAAAGACTAATGCATTAGGCTCCGGGTGTAACGAATATAAGCCTATTAGGCATATTAGCCAGAAAATTACACAAATTAGGCCATATAGCTTGGATTTCTTCGTGCCTTATTTTCCCTCGGCTAGAGAAACCCCAGTGATGACAGATGCACCACATATTTTACACATCACTAATTATAATAATATTTAATGAAATTTATTCATCAATGTACATGATACACCATGTGTAACGTTGTCACATCGGTTCATATTGCTACAAAGGAGAGACAATGATTATTCACCCATGCATATATCTGGTCAATACACATCAAAACTATGCTATTAAGTTTCTCGTAAATATTTATATCAAAAAGCTAATATAATTCAGTACGATACATCAAGATACAAGAAAAGCAAAATTTTGAAAGCAAAATAAACTAGATTGTCATAATGTCTTTATATTCAAATGAACCAAATCATAAGAAACAGACTTATGAGACCAATATGAACCTTGCCCAGACACTAGTTAACAGATAAATATTGCCCAAGCAACACGTTAACGGAGCCGACACTGGCCCCCAAGCTCTTAAAAAAACCCAACCTAAGGGAATATATAATCATAGAAGCTTCAAGGAGAGAAACATTTGAAGAAAAGCAACAAACAAAGCATCTATAAGCTTAAACGTTGAGTTTAACAAGAGGTTTCTACCGCAATCATGGAGAAGTAATCAGACATAAACATATTGCCTAAAAAATGGAAACAGTCAACGGATCCACGACTCATAAGAAATGGACAAAAGCAATTGTCCCAATGGTAAGGATGAAAAAAGATGATATGGCTACCAAGTAGGGAAGTGGCACAACCATATTTGCAGCCAAAGAGCAACAGTTAAATTATAGTAAGTGTCACAACCCTATTCCGCCCCTAGTAGAATGGTGCCGTGATGGCCAGTAATCCGGGATTACCGAAGGCCAACCTCCAAACCCACACACAATCAGAGTATAAATATATATGGGCCTCACAAATACGGAAGTAATAATTTAAAAATACAAGTGGTCCAGAAGAGAAGTGCGTAAGTTACATGGAATGGCATACAACTTTACATAATATTACAACTTGAATACAAATATAATGAAGTACAAAATACATATTACATCCTGATCAAAAGGTTTCTCCAGCCGACATGTGTAAATTACAAGCATTATGAGCCGAGAAGCATAATTTTCAAGACTGCCGACCTGAATACAAGTTAGGCCGACATAACAAAAAAACCCAAAACAAGCTTGCGAGTCACACCTAGGCATCACCGCCTTCCTGCTCATCACCTACATATATATATAGAGAGGGTGAGCTTGGATACTCAGTGAATGGTACAAGTAATAAAGGGTTTGCATATATGACATCCGTGATCTTTAACAAAACAATGCATAATCATAGCTTATCACAAACGTGGGATAAATCGTGTTCATCTAACAAATCTATCGAGCTTCATCAATCAAGGTCTTTCAAATTTCATGGGTGACATTAACAAAGATTGTGCTACAAATGCTTATAGTCCCCTAGCACGCACAGACTTTCAAGGATTGTGCTACAAATGCTTATAGTCCCCTAGCACGTACGGACTTTCAAAATTGTGCTACAAATGCTTATAGTCCCCTAGCACGTACGAACTTTCAAGATTTCCAAGATCAAAGCTAATACTTGATACACAAATAGGGATAGTCATTCATGCTTAGCAAGTACTTTTCAGAACAAAGCAAAACTTTATTAAAACTTTATAACGCAGCTTTATCAAAAATACCACTCACCTAGTTCTTCAACGTCGGGGTCAAGCGAGAGTCCAAGTCCTACAAACACATGGCAAAGTCTATTGAATGCACTTTCAAACAAGCTCATATGCATACAGATGATCTCGGCATCCTTCAAAACTAAGCTAAGTCAAAACACTGTTTCATCTCGGGAAAACATGCTGGGCGATAACCAGGTCTAGGCCGAGGTCCCACACCTCCTTGCCGAGGTGTTGCCTTGATGGCCACATTCAAGGAAATGAGGTCGGGAAAATCTGGGTTTCCCTGTCTTGAAGAACATGACGAACATGAAGAACATGGACATGAGGAAGATGAATGCAAAGATCAAAACTTGCTATTACAAAAGCTGAGATTTCATGCCATGAATTCAAAAATATGGACCTTGGTACCCATACTCGAAGATCCTATGAAAACAAACACAAAAGCATGAATCTTAATGCAAACTTTCGGATCAAACAAGACTTTTATTCAAGAACACATGAATACTACTTTCTCTTTCTAAAACCAAACTTTCAATCAATGCATGGCTTGCAAATCAGGTTCGATCATGCAATGCAGCTAGATGATTAACAAGGACTACAAGAGTAGGTTAAGAATATAACCTTAATACACGAATCTAACGGTTAGATCTCTAGGAATCAAGCTCGAAGATCCACTCCTCCACTCTAAAACTCCTTCTTCCTTCTAGAGCTTCTCTCTCTCAAGGCAAAGATATGATACAAAATGATAGGTTCTACTTACCGCCGGCTGATTTAACATTCAGCTCGGACACGTGGCAACGGCTGGTTAGTTCTCCCCGAAGAGGAGGCTGACAGACCAAGGTATGGCGAAAGGGTGTTTAACAAGTAAAGCGGCATGGCATTCTGACAAGGTACTGATATCGGGTGAAAACATCAGCTTCGGTAGGTGAGGTACCTATGATCCCGGCTAGGACGGACAACACTTGGCCTAGCTGTGCCACACCTCGGCCTAGATGTGCTACATCTTGGTCTAGGTCGCACCAATCCGGAACAAGATCACTTGGGTTCAAGGATAACATCCTGACCTAGATGATACACCCTTCGGCCTTGATGATACACCTCGGCCTAGAAAATGACATCTCTGCCAATATGCCAGGACGAAGGTAGAGGTCAACCAAAGCGGTTTCAAGGTGGTTCTGGCTTTAAGGTGACCTCGGCTAGACTCAAGACTTAACAAGTAAATTTCACATAAGTACAAACCAAGACAAAAATCTCATTCTAGTTAAGACAAGTCAAGAAAATTCACTACTGTAACTTAGCAAAACAAGATTATACAAATGCTCATGCCCGAGGCTAAGGTGGGGAATGAGGGTCACTACAGTAAGTCATAGTAATTAAATATTGAAGGAGTATAGCTAAAACTGCAGGATCATTCTAGCAAAATAAATCTTAATAAACCAAATTGATACAAATCATCAAACTGTGACAATCTCCAAAATCAACATATAAAACTTTAAATTCACAAAGGTACCTTACAAATCTCATTGCCTCGCTGAAACTCTTCCATCATCACACGCAATGTGCTTGTCGACACATTGTAACTAGAGTTCATGTAGGGATATGCAGGAGTTATGGTTGGCATCAGGTGCTGCCTATCCCTGAAATTTCTCCTGGGATCCCAAACAGGAAGTCCCAGAGAACCATCCTGAATAGGACATAATGTGATAGGATTTGGCCACCGCCAAAGGTTATAGACCTTGAAGAACCTTGAGACCAACATATTAGGTAGTGCATTTGGGTAAAGTTGGCATATACGAGCAACAAGTAACGCCCAATTGATACCACCAAGAAACCCC